TAGGGAATTTCATGCAGCTGTAAATGCCTGAAATCAGGTCTGTGGTTAACCTCATCTCAAGACATTTTCACTTTTTTATTCTATAAAATACACCAGTAAAACATTGTGATATTGATATTGAAAGAGGAGTTCGATAATGGCTAAATGGAACCACAGAAGCTGTCGGGTACATTAAACAGAGAAGTTGTAAAGTCATACTCACTAGTCCACTTTCACAGCCTTGTTGTGTTATATTCCCTTTTTTGTAAACTATTATATTAATAACTCAAACTTTGAGTCATTAATTGGTAAATTGGATTAACAAAATCGTATCTCGCATTTGGTCTGTCTTAGTAAGTTACTGTCGAAAATCAATTTCCTAAATGGACCAAATGGTGTGGTGATGGCAGTGTTGTAGTTGAGACCACCTCACTCGAGTCCGAGTCGAGACCGAGACCAGAGAGAGTCGAGTCCGAGTCAAGACCGAGTCCATAGAGAGTCGAGTCCAAGTCGAGTCCGAGACCAGAGACGGTCGAGTCCGAGTCGAGACCAGTGAGGGTTGATTACCTAATTTACTTTTATTTACTTAGAGAAATCCTTTTTTTATTTTACTGAATTTACTTACAGTTTAAAAAATATGATCAGTTTAGGGTAAAAAGGCCACATAGTAGGCGGTGTTGTAGTGGACTCGGGAATAAGTCCGAGTCCTAAAAAAAAAATGTTCGAGTACGAGTCAATTCCGAGTCCAAATGCACACGAGTCCATGACAAGACCAAGACCATTAAAATATGGTCTCGAGACCGAGTCCGAGTCTCGAGTACTACAACACTGGGTGATGGCGCAGTAGATAAGACAAATGCCTGGATGTTTAAATCCACTGTGAGACACCAATTGTCCCTGAGCAAAACACTTAACCCCTAGTTGCTCCAGAGGCATGCAACCTCTGACATATATAGCAATAAGTCGCTTTGGATAAAAGCGTCATCTACATGTAAATGTAAAATGAAGTGTTTTTACTTCCAGACCCCAACTGTGGCACTCTATTGGGTTTTTGTTGATGGAAACAAGGAGCTACTAACTTCCAGGTTGGCCAACAAAAATACATCATTACTGCAGCGTTGTATACATTTCAGACTGAATAGCTACTGTCAGAATGACCATCAAAAGTGTTAAATGGAAATTTCTGATTTAAAAACCACATCAATGACTGCAATGGAGACCCTTTTAAGCTATGACTGTGTACATGCATGTAACTATGCATTTAGTGCATCCAGTTGACCTGATGTGATGAGCATAATGTACATTAACTACTAGTTCTATTTCTTTGCCCGCAGGTTACGCTGAGCCGCACCAGGCCGATCTCATGTGATCCGGACCAGTTTGCCTGTGCTCTTGCGGATATGAGAGGGTGTGAGTGCCGCTGTCTTTGTGCTGAGATTCACTGGGGTGGAAAAAACATTACCAGCATATATCTGCCGGGCACAGAATGGACCCTGCATTACAGTGGCCGCCAGTGCAAAGTCATGCCTCTCTCTCTCTGGCTCGCTCACTGTTTTCATCCACGTTTCTTTCTTTTTGAAAAAAAAAAAAAAACACTTCCCCTTTTGTGTCTCTCTATGTATTTTTTTTTTTTTTGAGTTCCACATTTCTGAGGTTTTGCACTAGGCCTTAAAGGTCTGCACAGTTTTAAAGGAATTTTTCACAAGACACCATTTGATTTAAATAGGCAAATGCTTAAAAGTCTATGATTGGATTATTATTACAGTGATTTTAATTTTTAGGAGCCGATTCATGTGAGAAAATGATTCTTCATGCTCCTCCTAACTATTTTTTCACAGTTTGAGCCTGATGAAAATTGACATTGTGATCCTGGAATATGGCCATGAATATGTGTCTTCCTACATGGCTGCGTAAGAAATGGTTGTTGCCAAACATATAATATGGTAGACATATAATAATAACCGGAAAAATGATCCAATCATAGACTCTAAACTTAGCATTTGCCTTTTTAAATCCAAATAGCGACATCATTTACTCACCTCCATATGTGGATCACAAAAGGAGACATTTTGAAGAATCTTTTGCTGTAAATGGCGTCAAACCTGTTGTGATCCACTCAAGTGCCATTTTTGTACCTTTACATGATCTCAAATGAGATTTTTGGCTGAAAGATCACATAGGATTCATAGGACTTGTATGCAGTGCATAAGTCACATACCTTTATGGTGTTTTGTGGTTCTTTTGGGTTCCACAGATAAAAACGGCACAATTGTCATATGTGCATGAGCTATGAAGCTTGAACCTGACACAAAATTGAGAATTTGTAACCCGACCAGCATCATCACAACATAAACCTGAAATAATTTATTATCTTTTTATTTCCATCTAGGGAGCAAGGAGGCCCATATATATTGATTCTGACCTCCTAAAGTAAAAACAAAAATATTAATTACAAAAAAACAACCTTACTGTGTTAATATGAAGGAATGTTTTAATAATGTATCTAATTAGAAAAATTAGAAATGTTTCCCTGGCAAATAACTGAATTAAAGTGAGCCAACTAAAATTAGGCAATTAAAAGAAAAAGAAAAAAAATACTAAAACCTCAACTAAAACGAAACCGAATATGAAGATGAAGTAAAAGCTAATACAATAAGAGTATATAAAAATCACTAAACTGGTTATCACACTTCTTTGTTTCTCACAGTGTTTAGGATCAGTGTAGAGGGGGATCATTATTCTGACAGGTGGCTTCATCCTTTCACATACTATGAATATAAAGGCGAAGATAACGGGTGACAGAGACAGTTTAACTAGGTCCTCCCAGCAATATTTATCCCTTACATCATCAAGCATATTTACTATATACCACAGCACATCAAATTAGACATATCAGGATCAACAAGCCAACTAGAATCTGCTAAGACAGCAGCACAATGCAGAGAGACTCATCCAACAGCACAGCCTGTTTTTTTTTTTTTTCTTTGTGTGTGTGCACATTTATTGATCCCCACAATGCATCCTGTGGTGTCGGATGTAAATGAGACCATGGACATCCTTAAGAACCATTACATTGATCAGAGTATAGACGACGTGCTCGGCTACGTTTAAAGAGTCCATTAAAAAACATCAGCCTCTGAAACCCCATCACACCCAGTAAGGTGATCTCACTTTTCCCTCCCATCACTATGGTAACCTGCAGGGATATGTCTGGGCGAGGAGGGGCTGTGAGAAGGTAACTGATATTTTTAATAGCCAAAAACATTTGTTTGTCTTGGAGACCTAACAACCAAAAGTTGACTAATTATAAGTAGCCAAACTCATCTGGTTTAAATAACCCGCAGCACATAAATGGAGAGTCTGATTTACACTGCATTAGAGAATGGTTCAAATATTCCAAAGGATGCACACATCAAATTCAGATGATATGAGACCAGCAAACGAATTATATAGAGAACCATAATCCCTGATTGAAGAAAGAGAGCAGCTTCTGTTATTTTCTTTGCTGGTATAAATAAATGTCCCTTGACAACTGATGAGAATTGCTGTGAAGGTGATGCACCAGAGACGCAGGACGGAGCCTCGCGCATTCTGCTGTTACTGTCACCTTGTTGAAGCCCCTCCGGACATCGAAATGAACGGACGCACGTAAATAAACAATCGCTTTCGGACATGGTCGGGTGTCTCTCACCTCTTGTCCAGGCAGATGATCCACTCGGAGGAGGCCACGGAGTGCGCAGAGGTGTGCACCGCTACCATCTTCGGCTCGACCGGTGTGAATCGCAGATCTCTTCGACTCGCGCGCATCAGGGCTCGTCCCCCTCCCCGCCTCTGTCGTCAACTGGATCACCGTGGTGGCGTGGGTTCATCGTCACCACGTCCACGCGCGCTACGATCGTTTACAACCGTGACTGCTCACACTGACACGATAAACAAGTCACGTTCTGAATCTGTACAGAAAAGCATTATCGGTTGAAGATCTGTATCGACGATGTTTCAGATAACATTGCGTTTACTGCCATGGTTTAAACATAACGTCAGTGGGAGGCCTGGGAATATCACGGAAAAGGCGATGAGAGGCAGTTAAAATACTGATATGATGCATTAAGCGTTTGTAGGTGACAGCGGTGATGCTGATGCTGCACTGTCACCATGGTGATGACGGGCACGCGGTCAGCGAGATGCTGCATCTATAGACGCGAAAGGAAAGGGGAGCGCGCGCTGTCAGGCGTCTTGTTCTCCCTGGGGCTGACACACACACACACACACACACAATGTCAGAAAAGAAACAAGGAGTCGCAACTGTCGCATGCATGGCTACACTGTAAATTGGGAAAACAGTAGCAGTTATTAGCTTTTTGTACCTGATCTTATCTTTAAAATCTTTTTTTTTTTTGTTTGTTTGTGTAACCTATGTTGATTCATTCACATTAAATAAGAGTTTTCGAGACTTTATTTTAAGGTGATGTAGTAACATTGTAATCACTCAAAAAAGTACTGAGTAATATAATTCACTTACTACATATTTAGAGGTTTGGTTTAGGGTTAGTTACTTGTAACTATACTGTTATTACTAGTAAGTACATGAAGTAACATGTACCTGTCACCATAAAATATAGTGTCACCGAATTTGATATCAGTTATTATTTAATTAATTAAGTATCAATTAATTTAAAATAAATAATATAATTATAATACAAATACTAATAACCTTTTCTTGGTGTAACCTAATGCATTTTACCCAGGTAGTTGGCTACACTGTAGAAGATAACAGTTGCAATTGTTAGATTTTTTATAAACCCAATCTTATTTTTTTTTTAAATCACCTTTTATAGTGTAACCTAATGCAATCTGGTTTATTAATAGGCTACATAATAAATATTTAATAAAATGTTTGCAACATTAATATAATTAATTCGTAATATTATTTTAAATAATAATATATATTTAAATTAAATAATATTTGATCTAATAATAATAACCACATAACCTACATTTTAGGTAACTCATTTTAAACAGTATGAGATAATAAAAAGAATAGTGCTTTATTCCTGCCACCAAAAAGAGTAAAATATTCACAAGTACAGTGTTTAAATTATATAATTGACAGCTCAGGGATCTGGAAAAAAAAAGTGCATCCTACATGTGGTGGCACAATAATACATAACATGTTTACAGTATAGCACATTTAGACATTGGCTGAAGTATAAGGAGCAATGTGTTCCTATTTCTTAACAACAAAGTGAGTAAAAAAGCTTTCTATGTCAATGATGCATCTCTATTGTGCTACAGAAAAAGCAAGCACATGATCATGCATTATCTCTGTTGAAACTCACATCTGAAAGCTTCTTCCCTTAAAAATGGTTCACTGTGTTGATTGAGTCTCGTGACAGCAGAGGAGATAATTCTTCAGCTGAGGCCAAAGCTCTGGACACTCATGTGACCTGAATGCAAAAATAGCTTAAAGATTACGTGCAGAACTCTATGAGCGAATCCCTGACACCTTTATACATACTGTATAACAACAACAGGATCTCACAGGTTCGATACCACAATACTGACAATGCCCATAATATTTTATGACCAGAAAATCTATTAAACATTTCGATTTAAAACATAGCTTCATGTGAAATGTCAATATTTGACATATTTTAATATGCGTTATTTGGCAGTTTCCATGAATGTGGCACACTACGGTGTCGCTTTTTTTTTTTTTTTTTTTTTTTTTGCATATTGCGTGCAAGCCTGTTACAGCATAATTTTCCCACATTACAAAAAATGCAACATTCTCTAAAATTGCAATCCAATAAATAACATAATTCAGACCATTTAGATGGAAAGACAAGTATATTCTCTCATTTCATATTCTCAATTTTTACACAAATTATTTTGACTGCAATTGTCAAGCTAATCTTTTCAACCCTGTTACCAAGGTTAATGCAAGATTGTCTTAAATTTTTGTGAAATATAAGTTATATCCATAAATGAAGAGTTCAGATGCAAAAGCCTCTAAGTGCCGTTTGAAATTTTCTTCTAGAATGATCATTTTTATCAAGCTCGTATATTTAAGTTATCAATTGACACTTAAATGACAATTAATAGGTAATCTTCATTGCCATTTAAGTGAAATAACAGAACCTAAATAAACAAGCTTGATAAAAATGATCATTCTAGAAGAAAATTTCAAACGGCACTTAGAGGCTTTTGCATCTAAACTCTTCAAATATAAACCAACATTTGGTCCCAATCTAGCATTCGATTTTAAACTAAAACGACCATATTCATGGAAAGTGCAAAGTCTTTCATCTTGCAATCTTTATACACAAAGTCACACCCTGAATAAACATTTTCCTGCTATTGCATGTTCAGGGATCGTCCTGCTCTGCGGACACAGGCGTGGGGCAGTTTGTGTTGGCTATCTTCCTGTAGACAAAGTAAAAGTGTTGAGGGATCGGTCGACTGTGTAACTCTGCCTTAATCCACTGTGGTTGTGTGTCTGCGGCCAATTGCTGGCTGCTGTCGTCTGTGAGAAGGAAGAGGCCGTAGTTTTCCGGATCAGACACACTGAATTTAAGTGCACAAAGGCGGCACACCTCTTCTGTTGTGGCGTAGGGCCGGACCTGAAGGGTTTTAGCCGTGCAGCCGCTACCTGCCTTCTGCAAAGCCACACGCATGTAATTCTGCACAAACCAAACAAAGATATTATGGCGAGTTTATAACCACTCAGCAAACTTTATGGATTTAATATATTCCACCACGTCCATTAAATGTTCCGAGGTCAGGGTTTTACCTGGAAGTCGTCCACCGAGGGCAGGTTTCGCTGCAGTGTGCGGCGCTGGTGCCACTGGTGGAGTGTGTCGCGCGCTGTAGAACTGAGGATCCGCGCAGCCTGTTCCTCCTGGAAGTTCTTAATCAGTGACATCGCTCCATATGCACTGGTGAGGTAATAACCCCCTGTACGGGATCAAGACAAAAGGATAATATTACTGTTTTAATACAGTCCTCGACTTGAAAATGTGTTATTTTACCATTCAGAAGTTTGGGGTTGCTAAGATTTTTAAAATACAGTAAAAACAGTAATATTGTGAATTACTGTATCTTAAATAAAACATCGGTACCTAGTCAACCGCTCTCTGAGGTTTGTTTTCATGATAATCGAATGTAAAGAGTTTTATCGCTAAAAACTGTTTAGCGTATAATGCTAGTACTGGGGGCATTTACTAAGTAAAAAGAAATCACTAGTTTATACCACTAACAAGGCTCAAAATAACATAATGAGGGTCCATACATGCAAAACGAACGATATGTGAGTGTACAGACCGTTTAATAAGAAGATACTTTATAAAGACAGTTCACTTCGTGTATACAGACAGGAGCCATCTTAGAAAATAGTCTCGATAAGTCGAACCACGAACGGCGTTCTTACAGTTCACGTTCGTGGTTTGAATTGTCGTGACTGTTTTCCAAAGATGGCTCCTGTCTGTATACACAAAGTGAACTGTCTTTATAAAATATCTTCTTATTAAACGGTCTGTGCACTTACAAAGTGTACCAAAAGATGTCGGAGTAGCTGTAGCGTAAGCTTTGATGCCTTTTGAGTTTGAGCAACAAACTCAAGCTCCTCTCCTCTTATATTACAAAGCCCATTACAAAGCTTGGAAGAGCCAGGATTTATATATATATATATATCCTATTGTTTTCACCTGAAAGAAGAAAGTCGTGTACACCTAGAATGGCTTGAGGGTGAGTAAATCATGGGGTAATTTTAACTTTTGGGTGAACTATCCCATTTGGTCATCAGGTTTGTGACCTCTCTGTGTACAACTGTACACACAATATAATAAATCTTTTCCAAGAATGGCTACCGCACTGAGCGCAGTGAGAACAGGAGACACACACACCCTTGGAGGAAATCACTCTGTTGAGAATAGAACTTAGGATGTTCGTCACACACGGAAAATGCTTCTGTTCGGAAACTCCTCCTACTCCACAATTATTAAAGGATTAGTTCACAGAAAAATGAAAAATCTACACCCACATGTCATATAGTTCATCTTTGGAACAGAAATTAAGATATTTCTATTGAAGAGATGTAATCGCTTTATATGATGAACAGATTTAATTTAAGCTTTTATTCACACTGATCCGCACACATTTACAGCATTCAAATTTGGTCACGGAAACCCAAACATGCAGGTTTGTAATGACAGGAGGGTGAGTAATGGTGACAGAGATTTCATTTTTGGATGAACTAACCCTTTAAATTAATTCTGATTCAGTCATTACAAAGCAAGAAAGAGAATTCACATTCAATATTGGACAGGAGAAACCATGTAAAATGACATTCATTTAAATAAACGATTACACAAATATAAGGACATGCTAACGCACCTTCTCCATGCAGTAATGGAGGATCTATCAGCTCCATCATATACAGGATCTCAGTGTCCAACTGTGGCATGTCACACTGGATCAGTACATATGTCAACATGGGCAGGAAATCATCCGCTCCAAACATCCTCACTGGTGCAGACAGAGGAAACGTTTATCAGTGACCTTTACACGAGCCATTCCGCTTGATTAAGGTGTAAATACGTTCATCTTTCAAATACTAATCTCATATACTGCATTACAATTCATATACTATTCAACCTATATAGCATTAAAAATTAGGATTTGGTGTCCGGAACACTAAACAGTAGCATGTTGAAAGGAGTATCCCAAAAGTACCAGGACTCCAACAGCTAATACTGCCCACATCCCATAAGTGGTTAGATGAGGATTAGATAAGAACTACAAACATAAATAAACTGTAAAAAAAAACATGGCGTATGTGTGAGACCAAAGGTTTAGAAAAAGGGGTTTGATAGTTGGTATCTAATCTGCTGAAAAACAATGTTATCTACATTATATTGCATCTTCAACAACATTGTAAACGGCTGTCAAACGATTAGTCGCATCCAAAATAAAAGTTTGTGTCTACATAATATACTGTATGTGGGTGCACTGTGTATAATTATTTTTATATATATAATATATATACACACACACATGCTTGTATATATTTAAGACATATTTTCATGTATATACTGTTTATAGATTTTTATATATAATTTATATTATAAATAAATAAATAAATATAAATATTTTATATATAAATAATATTTTTTTCTTAAATATATATGCATGTGTGTGTATTTATATACTGTATATACAAAATAATTATACACAGTGAACCCACATATATTATGTAAACACAAACTTTTATTTTGGATGCGATTAATCGTTTGACAGCCTTAAAAGATACATTTGGTCATTATCTTTTAAATACATCATTCAAACACACAGGGAGAGTTTTCCCGCATTAAAAAGCCCACGAATAGCAAATTAACGTGCTACTACATTTTACATTTATTTATTCTTTTTTTTTTAATATTTTATTTTTTTCTCTCCAATACGGTAGGAACTTAAATTGAATGTGGAGGATGTTAAAGGGGTCATGAACTGGGTTTTAAAATTTTATTATATTGTTGTCTGAGGTCAACTTATGACGTTCGCTTGGTTTTTGCATTCAAAAACATCAAAATGAATAAGTAATAGGCTATTTTCTACCCAAGTTTTGAGCCTAGCTGAAAAACGCTCGGTTTTTATGGGCGTCTCGCACTGAAGACTTGGAAACGCCCACTGCTGTGAGTGGATAACAGTTTTGCATATCAACTCACCTTTCGGTGCACGTGGGGGAAATTGTTTTGAAAACGTCCAATGTTGTAAAATGGCAACCGGAATGATTCGCCCATATATGTTCGAGTCCGTGTGTTGCACAATTCCTGTCAGATCAATATAGACGGCACAGCACTGTTCTTTACTCTTAATCGGTCTGCAAATCCAGTCTTGTTTATAAAACAATTCTCAGAGAAATGAAGCGAATAGACGGACAATGTCGATCCGGTTCGTCATCACAAGGTAGGCATCTAAGTTATTTGGCTATGTGTGTAATGCGCGAATCAGTGGGCGGAGCTAAACCAGTCGTGTTGATCTTCTTCTGCGGGGGTGGTGTTTTATCCTCTTTGACGTCATAGTTCCCCACTTTGAAACACGAGTCGTTTGCTGAGACTGGTGTCAATAAAAGCTTTTATTGGTCTAACAAGGACGTTTTCAGTTCTGAAACTTACAGGATATTCTTATAATATGATGACCTCTTTGATTTCTCAGTTCATCACCCCTTTAACTGTGACAGGGCAGATTAAACGATGAAGGATGCACATAACTAAGCGACAGAGCCGTCCTTTAAAGAAGCAATTATGATGAAGTAGTATCTTGCCTACTCTTCTGCTACACATTCAAAGTATGTACTTTTTCTTCACAAAAAAAGTACATCATTTGAAGGCATTGTATAAGTAGGTGAATTGGGACGCAGCAGTACACACCTTAAACATAAACACACAAAGCCTTTAAATAAACCCTTGAGGCATAACTCCACCTGTACACACCTCCATGATCTTGCATGATAGTGTAGATGAGTTTGCAGACTTTCAGCAGCACCGATATCTTCCTCTCAGGTGAGTACATGCTGCACATAGATCTGAGTTTTCTGCGGATGCGGTGGATGGCGTGGGCGTCTGGTGGCCGGGCTCCGATCACTCCCAGCTCGTGAGGGTGTTTGGTCTTGGCCAGGGTCAGGTTCTCCTGCAGCCTCTGACACACTCCTCCGGCCACCTGGAACTCATGCAGCGCTGACTGCAAGCAGCCGTACAGAGTTTTCAGCACACACTTATGCATGGCCTTCTCCAACACCGGATCTGAGGAAGAGATGGACCTTCAGTTAACACTTCAGAGAAACTTAACATCTTCATAGTGATAAAAAATGAACAACAAGACATGAATTATTAACTACTGAACTACTACTTAATAGACAGTTTTAAAGGAATAGTTCACCCCCTAATGACACTTCATAATTTGTCGTTCTACATGTGTAGAACACCAAAACAAGATGTTCTCAAGCAGGGTTACTATTGTTAACTAAAACTAAAATTAAAATTAAAACCATAAAACCATTCTTTTTTTTACTTAAATAAAATAAAGGGGAACTGAAATAAAAAAATAATATGTGTATTTTTATATATATATATATATATTTCAGCTTGTTGGCAAGACAACATTTTATTTTGTTTTGAAGTACTAAACTAAAAACTGAAATAAAAATGAATAAGATAAATGAAGATGAAAAAGATGATGATGATGAAAGAGATGAATAATAAAAGAAATGAAAAAGCTAATAAAAAACAACAATAAAATACATTACAAGCACTTTAAAATTAATTTAATAGTTCTGAAAAATATTCTGAAGAACATAATACACTTCAGACTATTCCTCAAAGCCATCACATGACTTGGAATATAGCACTTATAAAGTCAAATGGACTACTTTGGTGATAGTTTGTATTCATCACATTACATCACATGAATTGTTAGGATAAGACAATATTTGGCCAAGATACAACTATTTGAATATCTGGAATCTGAGGGTGCGAAAAAAAAAAAAAAAAAAAATCGAAACATTGAGAAAATCGCCTTTAAAGTTGTCCAATGTTCGCGATTGTCCTGCATAAATGTTTTATATATTTACGGTAGAAAATTTACAAAATATCTTCATTAAACATGATCTTTCCTTAATATATACTAATGATTTTTAGGCATAAAAGAAAAATCAATAATTTTGACCCATATACCTATGATCCAGGGTCACAATTGTAAACTCAATGATAGAACAGTTACCATTTGATTATGAGAGATTTTAGCCACGAGTAGCTCGAACCATTATGAAATTTTGACTGAAACGCCTTTTAATTCAAACTTTTCCCACAAGTAAAAAACTCTCACAACACACACACACACATACTGTATGCTTACAGAGCGTACAGTGTCAGCTCAGTTCATGGAAAAGCTGGCACAAACGTTACAAGATATATTAGACCTAAGCTCTCAGGAATTCATTGAGGTCTTGCAGAAGGCTCTGAGACACAAAGGGCCAGTCAAATAAGGACAAAAGCAGGCCTCACATCAGTTGTCTCTACACTATAGAGTTATAAAACAAGCAATTACACACTGACAACACTGTTACTGTAATACAACTCTATAAATAATATAATAAAACACTGTACACAAGAGGTCTAAATATTAGAAGCACCCGTAGCTTACAGATTCACTTTCATAATAAATGTATATGATGCTGTATATGATGTTTTATGGAAAACAAACCAGAAATTCATCAATTACACTGCTATGTTGGTTGTCACTAAAACTTATCTTTATTGTGACATTAAAAGTCAGTGACTTTAAAAAAATATTATATATATATATATATATATATATATATATAAACATTATATATAAAAATATATGTATTTTTTTTATGTCTGAAACAATTACAAAATTTATATTGTGCATCATGTTCTGAATATTTAATTCCACTAACAAAAAGCACCATGGCTTTTGCTGTACACTAGTAATATCATGATATTCTTTGATATATGATTAGTTTAACCCCTACTAATACCATCTGATTCTGTCACTGTACTCTGGTATACGGCCACAGTACTATTTTGTAACCTCAGATAAATGTATTAAAAGATTTGTTTCATAATTCTAGGTGGCATAACCATAAGAAACATCAAACTGTACACAAAAAAAGCAAACAGAAAAATAAACTGTAAAAATTAAAGATCTTAAATGTAAAGGGATGTTTCATATTCTAATTCAGGTATAAAGCATAATTGTAATCTAAAGTCTTTTTGGACAATATACATATTTTTAACATGCATTGCTTTAACAAGTCAAAGAAATCAGACTTTGAATTAAACTAAGAGTTTAGTTTGCAAACTGCACAGACTATGAAACAAAAAAAGGCAAGCTGAGGATACATATCTAAAAGACAAAGCCAACACTTCAAAATGCCAAAACAAACATACTAGTAAAATATATCAGATTAAACTTTAGAAGTGAGCCAAGGGTGTCCAATCCCGATCTAGGAGGACCATCTATCAGCAGAGTCTAACTCTAAACCCAACTTAAACACTCCCAAACCAACAAAGGATTACTGAAAACTCCCAGGCAGGTGTGGTGGAGCTAAACTCTGAAGGAAAGTGGCGCTTCAGAAGCAAGACTGGACACCTCTGAATTAAAGCCATTTGTAGATTGAAAAGTGCTTTTAAAATCTTCTTACCAATCTGGTCCTCAGGTATGTAGGACTCAATAGGTGGGTTAATCTCTGAGCTCTGGATGAGGTACGCCTTCATCTGGGTCATGAACTGCCGGAGCGTCTGCAGAAGATCCTGGCTGGATGAGTGGCAGTTTTTGTTCTCCTTCACAAAGCTCAAATAATCCTGCACCAGGCAACCAAAGTAGGAACCCTTGTCTTGGGACAACTCAATGATCTGGAGCAAGATGCGTTTTTCAGGTGTAGCCAGAACATTGAGAACATTTCGGAACTGTCCCCTTAGCGCTCGTGAGATAATGAGCGATCTCGGACTAGCGCCCGCTAGTTCGACCGCCAGGAGTCTTTTTGTCTTGCGGGCGGAACGAAGGCGAAGATGCAGGTCCCTTTCAAGTCCCACACCATAGTCTTCCTCCTCTCCGTCATACTCATCACTGCTGTCATCTGTGGAGAGGCCTTGGCCTACACTCTTGGGTGGGTCCAAATGAAGAGGATGCGGAGGACAATCCAGAGAGTCAGACGAGGAAGTGGACAAACCACTTGAGCTTCGCCCTTTCTCTTCAGGACCGGTCCATTGCTGCAGAACGGTGCTGTTGGTTGAGTTGAGAGGTGTATGCGTCCGCCTGGCTTGAGACAGGGCCATAGAGATGGTCTCATCATCTAATGCAATGGTGCAGCGGTAGCTGTCTATGTCAGGTGGTTGAGGAGGTCGTGGTGGAGGCTGATTAGAACTGGGGCGTTTGGCGATCGACTTGGGTTTCGTTCTGGTAATGCCGGCACCTGAAAGCATAGTCCTACAACCTGGGGGTAAAGCAGGGGTATGAACCAAAATGCGAGGTGGAGGTGGCCTTGGTGGAGGAGATTTTCTGTTTTCTGCTGTTGTGTCTTTTGTTGCTACATTTCCAGTTAGATCTTGCTGTGTCTTGACGAAGACAGGGTTGATAAAAGACAAAGCACTGTTGGAGCAACTTCTTTTGCCTTCGGGGGCATTCGGGCAGGTGTCAGTCAGAGGTAGTGGGACATTTAGATTGCCAGTTCGGGTACAGGTTTGATCCTCTATCAGTGAGAAGTTCCTATGCAGAGAGATTGTCCGTCTCTCCAGAACCAGGGAACTCTTTGGGGCTTGTTTGCTGGCAGAAGATTCCCAGAAAGCTGGAATAAAAAAGAGAGGATCTGATTAATGTTTAACAACACATACGCACAATCTTTGAACAAGCACAACCACAAAAGCAGCTAACACACCCTACCAAAGACCACGACACACTGTTAGTTTTAGTGCGTGTGGCTATATCCAGTTACAGCCCGGTTGAAGCGTCTGTTCACTTCTCTCGTTCTCAGGCCCACTGAAGTTCTTGGAGAAAAAGCTGATTCACAAATGCCTTACAAACACACCCAAACTCAAAGCCGGCCAAAAACTCAGTGAGTCATTTTTAACCAAACAGACAGGGGAGGTAGACTTAACAGAACACACCAAACCACTCCTCTTTCTCCTCCCCATGCTTTCTCTCTCGCTCGCCACCCATTGCTGTCTGGTTTCTCATGTTGGCTTGCCAGGCCATTTTTTATTAGGACGGGATAGTTTTGATAGTCCGCATCTTTCAAATGAGACTTGTCCCTCACTTATATTACCAAATCAAACTATTACTAGATCAAACTATTGTTCTGCTGCAACTTTGGGTGTTGTGGATTGGTGCCAAGACATTTTTATGTAATTACTAAGCTATTCCAATTGCTTTTGGCTCATTTCTAACTTCTCAACCATGTATTTTCTCTAGGGCAGAACGGATCTATCATACACACACATACACTCCCCCAGTAACCTCTATGCTCTGATTAGCTCACATAGTCTCACCCACTATCTGGAATGCCAGCTGACTAATAATAACATGGAGGCTATAGTAGGCCAGCATGTTCGCAGCTGTGGTGGAATGAGAAATACACACACAGTTGCACATGAGACAATAATGCTGTCTTCTCTATGAATATTGCAATGTTTCTTTATTATCTCTATTTGACACCGGTCTGAACCTTATCAGAATATACTAAAATATTACATTTCTAATTATTACTTGGACATGCTCTGCACACACTCTGCTTTCCAGGTGTGTCATGCTATGTATTTGTTTTGAACAGAGCACCAGTGGCAGTCCTGACTCACTTTGTGCCCTAGGGAGAGACACGAGCAGAAAAAAAGTAAGCTGGGTTAGTCTAGTGCTACTGTCTTTATTTAGTGTGCAAGGGTCACCAGGGTGTAATTTAAAACTAAACTTGACAGCCTGTAATAATCATGTGTTTATGTGTAGTAAAAAGGTGCATGACCCCTGAATTTGGACATTTCCTCTCATCTATTTTGAGAAACTTCACAATTATGTGTATATATACACAGTATATGATATTGATCATAATTTTAAGAGGGTCAGACTAGGTAGGTCAGTACCTGCCCCTTGCTGGGCCACCTCATGCAGTTCTGACAGGGTCTCAGCTGAGTGTATTTCCTCAGGAAGCTTCAGGGTAGATGGCAGAATGTCTCTAATACGAAACAAAGAAAGCCAGACAGACAAAAAGTGTGTGAAATAGTGTAAAAAAATGAAGAGTGGGGGAAAATACATACACACACATTCACTCATTTCCTATATTAATGGTGACAGGTCAAATTATTAATATAGATTACATTCAGCTAATTTAATAATTCTACTCTTAATGGGAGGTTAAAATTGCCATTGATCAGAGAGAAGGCAGACTTTCAAGGGATACTCCACTTTTTTTTTGGAAATTGGCTCATTTTACCACTCCCCCAGAGTTAAACAGTTGGGTTTTGCCGTTTTCGAATGTATTCAGCCGATTTTTTGATATTTAGAAGAATATCAGTAACCAGACAGTTTCTGGTCTCATTGACTATACTATGGACATCAATGAGACCAGAAACTGTCTGGTTACTGATATTCTTCTAAATATCAGAAAATCGACTGAATTGATTCAAAAACGGTAAAACTCAACTGTTTAACTCTGAGGGAGTGGTAAAATGAGCCTATTTCCAAAAAAAGAGGAGCATCCCTTTCAGTTTCTATGAGCGGCTTGAGAAAACAAACTGTTGCAATCTTCTGTTTTAACGATCATTTGAAATAAATCATTTGTACTTAGTGACTTATTTTACTATATCCTGTTGATAATAAGGTGATGGATATCATTGGGTTTTATGTGCCGTGGGTTTATTACTGCACAATCTTTTATTGTTTCTTTACTCATACTCATCTGCTTTGCCCTTATCATGCTTTATCATTGCAATCATGGTAAAGACGATAAGACAGCAATGAACATTTCATCCATTACAAATGTATAAAATCAAAATTGTTCATAGTGGATTGTTTTTAAATGCTACGAAGAAAATGTGAGTGGTTGAGTTACATGGCAAAGTATAATGCTAAGGGTTAGGGATTTGTTCAAATGTGTGTATTAGCATTCAGTATGTATAATTGTCCATAATTATTCATTTGAATAATTGTCAGTCATTGAAAAAGTGTTACCTGCTAATACAATAAAAGGCCACAAGATGAAAGAGGTCAGCAAAACTAATTCCTGAGCCCTCCAGAGAAAATGCTAGGGAAAAAAGAACAATATACAACAATTATATGAAAAATATCCAATCTTCAAGCATTTCCACCATTTCAAAACATCAAAAATGTCCTTCTGGGTTCTTAATTTGTTGGGAATTTACAAAAATAACCGATGGAAATTTCTGTAACTGACTCTGACAGGTAAATTGTTCATAAGCCTCCAGCGCCTTTCTGACCACATTATTTTCCAAGGAACAGAGGATATTCAAAGTGAGATTGCCAAAAACCCTAGGGTGTGTCTGATATCTCACATGCAGAATGTCTTGGAACCGCACTGCAGTAAATGCCTGAAATACTGCCAGGCTGCTATTGTGACGTTTGGCATCAAACATGGTGCCTCTGATTCAAAGCAAGCCAGTTGCAAACAGCCGCTCAGGTTATTAAAACTGATTAACTACCTGTAAGACAAGACAGAAATATGTCCTATTCTTTAACAAAACAGAGATTTATTAAAGGTAGGCTATGGGATTTGCAAAACGCCCGGCAGATTTTGAAAATACACAACTCAAAAGGTCCTACCTTCTTTCCTGCAACACTGTCCCACCCTGACTCCAACAATTCGAAGAACACGGACACGCAATCTCTCTCTCTCTGTATCGACTTGCACTTACTGTGATTGGGTCACAAGCTTTGAGTATGCGCATAAAGGGGACACGACAGGGAGGGGGTATGGTACGACCGTTTGATTGATGCACTTACTGTCCAATGATTCTAGGTGGTCTTGGAAACGATTAGTTGGAGTTTTTTTTCGAGTCCTGCCCGGTCCAAAGATGATTAAATTGCTTAATTTTCATTTCAGTGCTTCTATCTTATGGCGCTTTTCCACTGCTGGTACGGCTCAGTACGGTTCGACTCGGCTCAGCACGGTTCGGCTCGCTTCGCTTTTCCACTGCGCGGTACGATTTGGCTCGGTTCGCGTAAACTTGGTTTGCTTTTCCACTGCAGTCAGTACCGCTTCAAAGTGGGTGGGATTATAGTCTGACCGTTATAGTAAATCCGCTCCTCGTAAACCAATGAGAGGAACGTCTGCACATCATCCACTGACCACGATTCAGCCATTTCTTTTTTGGAAGTTTCCTTTCCTCCTTTTTTCTTCAAGCAAGTAGTTTTAAAACTACAGCGGTGGCTGTTACTGGCTGTTTCAATCTAGCGGGTTTGATGTCTCGCAAATACAATGACGCTGGTAGTGACGAGTCTGTCTGACTGACCAATCAGTGGTCTGCAGTGTGTTCACGTCACATTTCAGTATCGGTACGGTACGCTTGGAACCTCAACAGAGGTGGTACCATTTAAAGCGAGCCGAAGCGAGCCATACCGTACCGTACCATGCAGTGGAAAAGCGCCATTAGTGGCTGTAATATGATTTCAAGTGATTTTGAAAAAAATGGTCAAAAAAGAAAAATCACATACCCCACCTTTAAGTGATATATAAAACGTGTGTGCTGTAAAAGGCGAGCAATCTTTGACCTCTCATCTGTGTGAGGTCGTCCCCACAATATCAACAAACCATAAAAAAGATAGATACCCAACAAAAGACCATAAAATGAAAGAAGAAATCTCTACAAATCTTTCACAGCCAAACATACTGAACATAAGGTGACACGGTATTTAGAAGTAAACATATACAGATGTGAGCAGCTTAGTATGATATAAGAGACCTGAAATACTGTAATGGCTCTCCTTTACAGGGATGTGAATCACAGAGGAGTCTGAGGTACCATCCGTATGAAATGACAAGACCTTTTTTTGCAGGACAGATGACCTCCAGACCAAAAACACCTGGGGAGGAAGAAAGAACACATTTTTTTTGCTTCTAATGCTGTGGTTGTGAATATATATATATTTTTTTTATAATATTGAGTTATAAAACAGGAGTATTGTATATATTATGTAAACAAAGACTTTAATGTTAGATGTGATTTGACAGCACTACTTATTATTAATAATGTGATCATTTAAATACCTTTAAGTCATCCAGAGGCCCCCTATTGGGCCTCTGGCCCCTTGATTAAGAACCACTTTAATGTTAACAATATCCTTGAGTCATTTGCTCTTTTATTAGTCTCTAATGAGTCTTCATCAAAAGCTTCTAGTTGATATTTTAAACAGTAATTAAATAATGGAAAATCTGTAATCATTTATTCATCCTCATGTAATTGAGTTTGAATGAGATGAGAACTATTGAGGAGGGCAAAATGTTTAGTACATAACAGTCTTTCCGAGACACAAATCTATAATTATGGCTTCAGATTGAGAAAAGATGCAACGTTTTACAATACTTTTGTCATTTCTGGAGCTGTATACATAATCTTCTTAAAAAAAAAAGAAAGAAAGATGGAAAACAGCAACCTTTTGTCTTTCACAATTAGTCAAATGTGTCTGAAACAGCCATGTGGCAATTAAATGATGACAGAATTTGAAATCTGTCAGCGTTAACTCTCTCTAACATGTTTTACCCCAGCTTGTTGCTGCTGTAGGATGCCAGTGGCCTCTTGCTGGTCGATGGAAAGCAGAAGCCAGATGGGGTGTGTGTGTATCAGTTTGTCCAACACACTCACACTTGAGCTTGTACCGTGATCCCCATCAAACGCAGGATACTGTAGACACACAGCGCTCATCTCTCCCTCTATCCTACAGAGAACAAAAACAGGGGATGGGTGTTTGATAGAGATATCTTTTTATGTCCTTTAATGGAAGAAAAGACTGACTATGGACTGGCGCCCTCTAATGGACACTGTAAAGGTTCTTCAGAAAAGTAATGACATTTTACAGTCCACAAAATTAATAGATGTAAAAGCAATGTATCTATTAAATGTACAGGTAATACAAGCACTGTTGTGTTTAAATGAGATTACACAATGATGTTATTAATGCATTGTCATCATGTGTACGGCACGTGTACTCACTCTATGAACATTGAAGTGTCTGGATCTCTGACTGGATCTCTGTCTTTTTCCTGAACCATTTGCTGCTCCAACGTACTCAGTGACAATGCAAACGCATCGACAAGCTGCACATAGATAGAAAAATAAAAGCAAAATCTTAGTTGTCCAAGCACCTAAACATTGTGCCTTTTTAAAATCCACATTGGCAACGTTGCTAGGCAAGAATCTATGAAAGAGAAACTGACAGGAAACCTGAAGAGAACAGTAAAGGAAAACCTGGAAAATACTGTAAAAATAATCAAGCTGAAAGAGGCTTATTTGTGACCAAAACAAGAGAAACAGCTTCAGACTCCTCGGACATCCATCTACGAGCAGGAAGAAAGTTAGTCAGTTTCCTGTGTTCTTAATCTACTCTCCCGAACAGGAAATGGGATTTACCATGGCAACACAATCCAACCATCACAACGCAGTTTTGTAATGAACCATTAAAAAGTCCTGTATTTTCATTTACTCTGTGCAAGAGCTTACATGTGATCACGTAGATATGTAAATAAGCTACAAACTAAACTAAAAACATGATTAGCCAAACGGTTTTTTTTTTTTTTTTTGACTTTCTTTCTTTTCTATGAGGTCTATGACAATCAAACGACAAGACAAATAGTTGAAAAGTGTAAAAAGTGGGAAATTATTGTTGGGTTTACTGGTTTCTGAGGTATTCTGGGTGGTTTATAATATGTTACTTTGGTATCTTTGCTGCTAGGTTGCTGGTAGTTGTTAAACTGGTCTCTGGGAGGGCCAATGTAAGGCCATGGGGTTTTTGGATGCACTTGATTGTCCAGTAAATAGACCTTTTTGAAGTATAATAGCACATCTTTCCTCAACAAGGTGCATGATTTGAGATAACATCCATGTTCATCGAACAAATGGAGCAGGACTAGTTTGATACGTTTGCCAAAATCTTTATATATTATATAAATTTGAATTTTCTGCATAGTAAAAACAACTGTAGTGTAGTTTATGGATAATAACAATATAAGGCAAGCTGATAACGGCATTCAAACAAAAACTACTTTCAAAGTAAAGTAATGTTTCCAAAATGCCACTTTAGTGAAAGCATGTAAAAAAGCCTTCATGGGCTTTTATTGTTGACCTGCAATTTTGGAATATTTGTTATTAAATTGTGGGTCATTAAATGCAGATAAAAATGGTCAAAAGACAACAACATCATTTAAAGCTACACTGTGTGATTTTTACCCCCATCTAGCGGTGAAAAGGTATATACCATCCAGTGAATATTAGTTTCTGTTCCTCTCAATTCCGATTTCGTTTTAACTCCTACGGTGGCCAATGTAGTCCAAGATTAACATGGCTTCCAGTTCAACCTCGTCCATGAGTGTTAACTCGAACGTAAACGCGAAAGGCGAAGCTTGAATTAACGGGTATGTCCCTCTTTGGCTAATGCACTTTCAAGATGGAGGGGCAACATGGCGACCGACATTAGAGCCCCTTACCCGTATGTATTTTCAATGGCATATTATACTCTCACGAGAATACTTGAACAAAGTAAATATACATTAATGAGCACATATATTTTTGAAAGAACTAAGTGTTTTTAGCTAAGAATAAACTAAAAGAGTTACACAGTGCAGCTTTAATAAAATATATGTAAGATAAGCTTGAGGTGAGTGAGATGGAAGATGAGGAAGGAACAGAGAGAGCAAGTGTAAGATTAAAAAAACTGAGAGAAGAAGCGATGAAGGATTTATTAAGGAGAGGAAGAGAGAGAAAGAGAAAGAGAGATGTACAGACACATCTATGGGACGCTTGAATGGTTCTGTCTGGGCAGGAAGCCCTGCTGTAGCCCTACACACGCACGCACACACACACACACACACACACACACACACTGTCTGTCCATTGATTTTTACAAGGAACACCAGACAGCCAGTGAATGTACGCAGTGGAACAGAAAATGTTCTTAAGGAGAATGGGGATATTTATACTAATCCAAAAACAGTTCCTGCATGAGCGCATTGGATAATGAGAGTTTGTAGCACCATCTGTGTGTCCTGCTCTTATTAAATTGTTACAGAAATGATTTAAGCCACAAAAGAAAAACTGTTATAAGCACATAGATATATAAATTCAGAAACATGAATTTGTAGATAAAAATTATTTTAGTGCATCAATGGAAGACATCTGACTGTACATCTAAAGGATCTCACATCTTCATTTACTGATGCCTTCTGTTTGAGAGTGTGTAGTAATGAAGTAATAAGGCCAGGACCACTGTTACGATTACATCTGTAAATCGTCCCGCAATGTTTTTGCTATGAGTGCAAATCTAAAGTTTCTGCCTCATATCATGCAGTTTGTTAGCCCTCAATCGGGTCATGGGGTCTATACGACCCCAATCGGCTTTTACTTAATAAAAAAAAGTTCCCTTGATCTCAGTGGAATAAGATTTTGTGACTTTTCATACATTATCTATGTATGAAACATTATCAATGTGACCCCACATTGAAATGAATGGGGAATGTGAAAAAAACTAAATATATTTTCTTCATGTGACAAAAAAAAAAAAAAAAAAAAAAAAAAAAATCCGGCATAAATCTGAAATTTTTACACAGAAATGAAGGCCTAGTACTAGAGCATAAATGCAATGTATCATAAAAAAAAATTATTTCATATACAAGCTAATGGTGTAATTGAGGAATTGTGTGGTATATGGATACAAAAGTACTTTATATCTCCAAAAACACAGCATTAATGAATAGATGAGAAGTTAACAAAAAAAATATAAAAAATTAAAAATGTTTTTTTTTTTTTTACAGTTACTCAATCAATTGTTGGGGTCATATAGACCCCAAAGCCCAGAAGTGTAAACAGGAAACAAAGACCATTTGAAGGTTAAGGAGAAGTGTGCGTGGCTAATCTTTTATGATTAGATTTTTACGATTTTTACCAGTCAGACAGTAAAGATCCCAGAGACTTAAATTGAGAAAGGAAATCAATCAAATGATGTTTATGGTCCATAATGTCATAAGAGACCTGTGAGTGAGTGCTTTTTATTTGGGCCAGTAAAAAACAACAACACCAAGGCTACATCCGGAAACTTAAAAATGCTGCATTCGGAGGAAGCTTTCCAAAGTGGGAAGGCATCAAAGCACGTCCGAATCCAATGTTAGCTTCAATTCCTGTCTACAGTGGCCAATGTAGTCCGAGATTAACATGGCTTCCAGTTCGACCTCGTCCATGAGTGTTAACTCAAACGTAAACGTGAAAGGCAAAGCTTGAATTAACGGGTTTGTCCCTCTTTGGCTAATGTACTTTCAAGATGGAGGGTCAACATAGCGACCGACATTAGAACCCCTTACCCGTATGTGTTTTCAATGGCATATAATACGAGAATACTTTATTACTTGAACGAAGTAAATATACATTAATGAGCACATACTGTATATTTTTGAAAGAACTAAGTGTTTTTAGCTAAGAATAAACTTAAAGAGTTACACAGTGTAACTTTAAGAAGTGCAGGTCTAGTCAAGTATATTTATATAGTGCTTTTCACAATACAGATTGTATCAAAACTGCTTCACAGTATCAATCAAAAACAACTTAACAGTGTTTGTTTATTACTGGAAAGACATCCAAGTTTGGTAGAGTAGATCAATGGTATGATGGGTGATTTAATTTGAATATCCCCAACTGAACACACATTATAAAACACAGAATGGTCATTACCTGAAGAAAGCTGCCACTTCTGTCTATCCGACTGAGTTGTAAAGATGAGTCCATCGCCAGGTTGCTCTTGATGATTTAAAGTCCTGCAAGACATTAGGATCACTAAATAAAGTGATATCTCCCATTTAACCGACTCTAAAATTCAGAATGACAGATGCATATATTCGTACTGTATTTGCCACGCTCTCCCTTTTCATTCAGTCATACTCTGTAGGGGTTTTATTATTATAATGGATGGAAGATTTTGTCTGTGAGCCTGTATTTAGAGTCTCGAAGCTGCAATCATTTCCTCAAAGAGTCATGTCTGATGGCCCTGTCTGCCTGACATTTCTCGAATCTATTGAACACATGTTTGTTGTTGGCCCTGGATCTAAAATGACAGTATAATGAAATGAATGAGATTATACTCACTCCAGTTCACCTGCAACAGCTAATCGCGGATCAGGGAAGTTATCGTGATTATGAAAGCATACCTCTCGCTTTCTGAACTGCAGCATCAATGGAGCATTGTTGTGTTCTCCACACTGTTGATTCTGTCTTTAGGGACGTCCATAGTCTGGAAATAGTCTGAAGTGAAACTAGTGTGAGTATGTGAGTGCGTTACACAGCTGCAAACAGACAAAGACACATGTAAAGACATTGAGAGCGAAAGAGCAATAGAGGTTTTTAGAGTGCATAAAATGTAAAACGACAAGTCGACAGTCTCTCGACCAACTTTATGAAATCTAAAAATCACTGAAAGAGTTTCTGAACACCACACATTTCGTCAAAAAGAAAGCATGCATGTTAATTTATGATATATTATAAAATTATAAATAACAATAATATATATCCCTAAAGGTCTTGACACTCAAAAAAAAAAAAAAGCACGAAGCACATATTTTTTTACACATATTCCATTTCACACACCAACGACAATAGGAGGAATCTAAATCAACCTAGTTCCTACATCTATTGTAAGAACATAATTCTTAGTAACCCGAAACCACAGAAAAACACACGCATACATCACAGAAAGATTTCTCAATTTCTCGACGAGGTCTAAGGCTAAAAGTCTGTTTCTGCACAGGAGGGTGAATGCTCCACAGCTCTCTAACCTCATTCACCCTCTTTTTTTGTGCACACACACATACATCTTCCAGTGTGTTTCTGTCACTATACAGTATATGGAAGCAATTTGATGTGATGTATGCATAAAACATCCTGACAGATGGACCACATCTATACCAGTCCTCAATGCATGCTGGTGCCATGATCAGGAACTGGAGATACCACAAACAAACTAGAACCATGATTACACTTAGTTTAACTTTTTTGTAGACTAGTATACTGTATATACTGTATATATACTCCTTTACACAAAATACTTTTAAGAAGTGGACAAAGTAGATACATTCATGTTTTAAGATTTGTGGAGTAAAAATTATTGTTTATATTTTTTTAAGTGAAAAAAAAAAAACCAAACAAACAAAACAAGCCACTCGGGCTCAATATTTCACTGAGTTAAATGTACAAACGTTAAATTTATTAACCAAATTAGCAAATTTATATTTACAAAAATTGACTGTTCACAACAGTTTAGAAAAATAAAGAAATGAAAGTGTTGAAACAGAGAACTCGTGATTGAATAAAACAGTTTTAAAAGTTACACAGCAGCATAGCGTTTTAAACAGGGAAAACAAACAAGCCCGAGGCAAAGTGAAATAATGCAGTTAACGCATTTAACAACTAATTACGCAATACTATGATATATGAAAAATGATATTACACAGACCTACTATGAGTGCTCCTCTGCAGAAACGACATTGGCTGTATGCTTCTAATAATGACAGTCCAGTGATTCTGTTACTATCCGACAGTTCATCACAGCGCTGAGGTCACATGATCACATGACTGACGCTGCACGTCATTTATGGTAAAGTCGTGTAAATAATTTGACAGAATAATTGCTAAATATGGTATTCAATGGTATTAATGCAACTTCTGATTGCTAAATATGCTGACGCTAACTTACAACTATGATGAAAAATGACAACTTTTATAGGCCTAATCATAAGAAAACATGTACACTTAAAATTTACATTAAAAAAATAAATAAATTACAAAAAAGAAAACTACATTAAAAGTATGATCCTTGGCCTGTTTTTATAATTATAAAATAAAACGTATTCATTATAAATAATCAAAGCTGTACAGATAAACATCTGTTTTTCATGTTTAGGAATAATCCTACTTAAAGTTCCATGCAATAAAGCAGATTACCTCACAAAAGCGCTTTTGTGCTTTGTTAGTTGGTCACACTCTTTATTAGATTCTAAACTCAGTTCTATCCGATTCTAAACTGTCCAGTTATAGTTGACTGCCACCAGCTCTGTAGCGTCACCTGCAAAGCATTTTGAAGTAATAGAAAATATGTTAATGAATAATGATTAAACTCTGTAGATCTAAAGATGATTTTTAAATAAGATGAAAATATGATTTATTAAAAAAAATCATTAATGCAATTAGTAAAAAACAACACATTTCTCTTTTCCATTTTTATTAAAACATATCATAGATATGCATTCAAATAAATTAGATAGTCTAGTAAATATTCAGGTATGTACTGTACTAACATGCTACTGATATGAGCCTGAGTCTTTTTTCTACTAGTAATTGTAGAGCTGCCACTTCTTGAGTTCTTGAATTTATATACAATCCAAGTTTTAGAAGAAAGTGCAACTGGGCACAATTTGAGAGGACAGTAATGAGACAGAGTCAGCGGCATGAGAGATGTCCCTGAAGACAGCAGCCCTGCCCTGGAAAATCTGGATCTGCAAAATCCATAAAAAAGGCAAAATCCATAAAAAAACACAAAGAAATACAATGAGCAGACTGCGCTATTTGGTGTCAATCTCCAAAGAGCAGTCCCTAGAGCTTGATTCAGTTCAACAAAAATAGAAAGAATTAACTCATTGACAACTCATTTACAGAGAGAGACAGACAGACAGACATATGGATAGAAAGATGAAATATATATATTAGGGCTGTGCAAAAGTTAATTGCGATTAATCGCATCCAAAATAAAAGTCTGTTTTACATAATATATTTGTGTGTGCTGTATATAATTATTTTGTATATATAAATACCTATGCATGCATGCATATATTTAAGAATTATTTGCCCTTAAATTCTGTATATATATATAAATACATAATCTATATTATATAAATATAAATATTTTATATAGGAATAACACATTTTCTTAAACATATACATGCATGTGTGTGTATTTATATATACAAAATAATTATATACAGCACACACAAATATATTATGTAAAACAGACTTTTATTTTGGATGCGATTAATCGCAATTAACTTTTGCACAGCCCTAATATATATATATATAGATAGATAGATAGATAGATAGATAGATAGATAGATAGATAGATAGATAGATAGATAGATAGATAGGTAGAGACAGACCGACAGAGAGAAGGATAGATAGATAGATAGATAGATAGATAGATAGATAGATAGATAGATAGATAGATAGATAGATAGATAGATAGATAGGTAGATAGATAGATAGACAGACTGACAAATAGATAGACAGAGAGAAGGATAGATAGATAAATAGATAGATAAATAGACAGACAAATAGATAGATAGATAGACAGAGAGAAGGATAGATAAATAGATAGATAGATAGATAGATAGATAGATAGATAGATAGATAGATAGATAGATAGATAGATAGATAGATAGATAGATAGATAGATAGATAGATAGATAGATAGACAGACAGACAGACAGGCAGATGGATAGACAGATGGATAGATGGATGGATAGATAGATAGATAGATAGATAGATAGATAGATAGATAGATAGATAGATAGATAGATAGATAGATTAGATTAGATATTGTTTAATAAATAATAGACTAGAAGAATGACTGTGTCAGTTTACGGTGAGGGACTCTACGGCTCCCGCTCAGAGGACACGTCTCCGTCGGCTCCGCTGCTGGCGCTGGGATCAGCTTTAGAGCGCGGCACCGCCTTCTCTCTGCTGGACTCAGAAGGGCCTTTCGAACGGCTTTTTTCTTTCCGCTGCTGTTGCTTCTCTTGTTTGTACAGCTGAGGCATGAAAAAAAAAAAAGGAAGAGAAGCAAACTGTTTTAAGGGTTCATAAAGTCCCAAAATAAAGTCATGCAGTACTAAGAACAGATAAAGAATTTACAGTTTATCAAGAAGATATTATTAAGGCATCCATTGCAGCACAAGATACCTGTTTAGGGTCTGTAGGGCCAGTAGGAGACTCCAGCTGGATGGTCACAGGTCCATCATTCTGAATAAGTACCTGCATTTTAGCACCAAACTTCCCATCTACAAGACAAAGCTGCTCAGTTTCCAACCTTTTTTACTAACGGAAACTACGAGTGTTGATGTGTTAATTAACAGCTAATCATTTTGGGATTCCAGAAATTTCAAAAACTGCATATAAAAAAACAAAAAAAAAAACACTACTGACAATACAGGTATTATAATAGTTACAATAGGAGAGTAAGTGGTGTTTTGAACATTTGGATTGTTTTTAGCATTTCAATTAAGTTAGATTGAAATGTATTAGGGTTATTATTGTTAACTAACGCTAACATTTCTCTTAACTGGCAAAGTTGAATAAATAAATCCATAAAAAGACAAAAAGTAGATAAAAATGACAAAAATAGCAGAAACACAAGTCATTTAGTCAAATACAAATTATACATCAATCAAAATGTAGTACTTTTAATGATTGAAATCAATTATTTATTTAATAATGTATTATTTTAGTAATTAAAGCAATAAATAACCACAACTCTAGCTGTCTTTTACAAAACAGTAAGTTTGATTAATTATTTAGTGACTAGTAGTATTAAAGGAATAGTTCATTTTTCATAATTTACTCACCCCCAAAACATTTGAAAAATTCTTCAAATTACCTTCAGTAGAAAAAGGTCAAACAGGATTGAAATGACATGAGAGTAAAAATGTCATTTTTGTGTGAACGATCCCTTTAATGCGGCAAAAACCTTAAGCAAGCTAATCTTAATCAGAAGAATGAAATCGTCAGGGTTTATGTGGTCTAGCCTCACCTTTGATGAGTTGTGGTTGATACGCTTCCCTCATCTGCTCCAGCATGCGGTTGTAGAAGGGCTGAGCCAGTTCAGCTGGCATGGCAGAGTGGAAGTCAGGCTTATTTGCCTTGAGGATACACTGCAGAGTGAACTGACTCACACACAACACCTCCAGCCCTCCGTCCATCACGCTGCGGCTCCAGGCACGGCCGTTCTCATCCTCAAACAGACGCAAGTTAAGAATCTTACGGACCCTGATGAACAACATCACACTGATCAGACGTACATATTCCCTGGTCACTGTTTTCCAAAGCAAAGACACTGACAGGTTAAGATGTTATGGTTTATGTCAAGATGTCATAACAAAGACATCTTAAACAATGTCATATTTGCATTCAAAATGTCATTATTGAGCGAATGACACTTAATGAGAGTTGTCATAAACATGCATAAACCTTACTTCATATTCAAGACATGGTTATGAAGGCGTCATGTCAGTCTTATGCACACCCCTTCAAGTAAAGTTTTACCCAAAAGTGTCAGTGTAACATCTTTGGGACACAGCACAAAAATCAAATGACACTTTTCCAAGGTACACCACTTACTCAATCAATCCTACAGCCCTTATGAATGAAATCTGATCTCAAACAATAAGCAAAGCAATGAATGCAATTTCTTCATTAGTATTTATATTAGATATTAACTCATTTTGACCACTAGACATCAGTACTTACATGTAGTCAACATCTTTCTGTGTGTCTTCCACTGAGATGCCAAGTAAGACACACAGTCCTCTGCCTATGGAACTGATCTGCTCCTCCCCAACTGTTCCATAAAGAGCATGGATGACGTCACCGTACAGTAAAATGCAAGCACCACGAGCCGTTTCCTTAAAATAATATTTACTGCTAATCTGAACAGTTTTATCTAAGATTTCAATGCATGGATAGATCTGATTAAGTTATTAATGTTAAGTGGAGCGCATTACTGTGTTGCACATACTACGCTGCATTCAGTTTCATTTCAATAAATTAACCGAAAATATCAGGAAGGAATTAAAAGGAGCGCCCAGCTGACAACAGCATTCGCTACGAATTTAGAAACTTTGTTCCGTACCTGTTACGCTTGCCCTCGTTACTCTTTGAATGGTCGCTTTCATTGTTTTGGTTTACAAATTCCAATCATGTGCAACACTCGAACACTTTAATCTTCCGGTTTCTACGAAGCCCCGCCCATGTGTGTGCGGGCGCGCGCATTGACGCGTCTGCCCCCTTGAGGACTAAAAGCGCAGGCGTCTGACTAACATTTGTTAATAATTCCATTGAAAAATCCTCACTTCATTGGATACTCGTATAAAAACATTAAGGCCTAGTTTCACATACAGGGCTTACAAGAGTTGGCTTTATTTAATTAGGTAGCTTTTAAAAATGTGCCTTACAAAAAATTGACTGTGCATCTTGAGACAAAACAATGGCATATTAAACCTAAAACCATATTCTGGATAAATGTGGGCAAAATAGTTTCGATTTATTTAAAAAAAAATACTTCCCTTGATCTGAGCGGTACAAGACTTGGCTACTTTTCCTAAGTTTGCCCCCTGAACACACACCATTTTTTTGGACTCAATTCTACAATGTTAAGTGGGTGAAAAAAACCTCCTTTGTATTTGGGTAAAAAATGGGCACCCATAGAAATGAATGGGAAAAACGGTAATTTAGAGCATTCTAAAATAAGCCAAAATAAGACACCAGGTGACAGCAAAGTCACTCACTTCTTCTTTAGGTTTTAGCTCTAAGAACTTATTGGAATTATATTTTAAGGTAGTTAAAAAAAATAAATAAAAAAATAAATAAAAATAAGCATATTTACATAGAAAATGTGGTAGTTTTTGAAGTAAATAAATTCAAAAATATACCCCCCCCCCAAAAAATAAATAAATAAATGGATAGACAAAACTTTGAAGACATTGATATAACATTTATAATAAATAAAAAAATAAGGATCACACCTGAGTCCTCTGTGCCAACATTTGACCACAATTACAGGCTATAAAGTGAATACGGTTTGAGGGCTACGATGGGACGTCTGCCTTTTGATGGACATGAACTGTGGCCATGGAAGTGATTGGAACACCTGAATTCAAGGATTTGGAAGGGTGTCCCAATAGCCTCGTGTATGTCATTTATTCTATAAATATCTTCTTTTGTGTTCAACAGGAGATAGAAACTCATACAGGTTTGGATGGAACAACCTAAGGATGAGTAAATGATGAAAACAGTTTCATTTTTGGGTGAACGATCCCTTTAAATCTTGTCTGGGAAACTGAGCATCAAAGTTAAAGCTAAAATACAACCCTGTTTTGGCTCTCTGTGATCATCATGCAAAAACAAAACCCCCAATAATATGAAGTGAACACTAAAAAATAAAAATTTCAATAAACACACCCACAAATGTTTTAGAAAGAATTTTATCATTCGTAATATAGTTCATGAAAAGTTTTTGTTCCCTAAAAATGCTTCCAGCACTTTTTAAAATAAAAGCTTGGGATTTTAGGTGCAAATTAACTTAACAGATACCATGAACACAGTCTTCATTTCTGTAGAGGTGTTGATTGAGCGTATTCTGGTTGCACAGGATCTCGATTCTCTTCATTTAAGCAGCAGTGGACTTGAATTGTCCCAAATGCATTCATATATCTTTTTAATTTTCAAACATGACAGTTAATCTTTTCGTTCGGACAAAAAACTGTCAGCTAAGTCCTCTTCCTCTTGTTTTTCACTTTCTTTTGTAGAACCAAAGAGAGTTAAAAACCTTGTGGAGAGCGGCACAAAATTCTCCCTATAGACAATGGTGCTTTTCAAGCTTCCCGATTCATATGTCTTCACATTATGTCTGTTATCTTTCTCTTCGACTGGCTTTTTTTCTAAAAAACAAAAAACAAAACAACAACAACAGTGTTTTATGAATACGTGCAATACAGTTTTAAAATAGACGCAACGTTGTAATTTATTTAGTATAATAATGCCCCAGTGATCATTAAGCTACTATATGACAAATAAAAAAATGAAATCAACGTGATTACTGAAAGATAATTCAAAATGTCTGTAGATAAATTGATGAGAGCTGATTTGTAACGTAAGTGTCCTGTTATAATTCACCTGGAATATCCTTTCCGTAGGTGTATTGGTAAAGTCCGCAACCGAGCATGGTCCAAACGCCAACAGCATACAGCAGCGAAGCACCGCGGTTCCATGATGCAGGGTTCATCAGTAAAAATAATGTCAAAATATTAATTCAGGCTACTGGCAACAAGGGCAACATTGATAAGGAAGCTGCCATATTAAAACATGCTGTCACTTCCGTAAAGAAGGAGCGACCAATCAGAACGAGTGCCTTAAAATATGCGGGGTTAAATGGTTCCCAAAACTCTGACTTACGTTTATGAATTAATTAATTAAAATACTGGTAAATAGCGTAATAATTGTAAATAAAGGGATATTATTGTCCTGCCTAAGTAGCAATATAATTAAATAAATACAAATTTGAATCCTGGTATCTGTTACTTTTCTCCGCGCCAGGATGAGAAAAATCTTGTTTGATTACAGGATATATTCCCAACCCCACCCAACATTAAATACAGCTTTATTTGAGTCAAATATGAATTAACAAATTGATCAAAACGTCTTTAGATTTGGATGGGACTCCATATTAAGCGACCCCTAGAGGGCGCACGATTCCACTAACCGGCCTGGAGCAAACAACGTTTCCGGTCAATTTTCAGCCGTATTTAGCCTATAATATTTCATAATGCAGGCTACTCAGTTTTAATTAATGTCTAATGATATTTGTAATCATTTTTAACGATATTGTCTATAGTTCTATAGGGTAACAACAATTGTAATTATTGATGGTAACAATTACATGTAGACATTGTTTAGAATTAAGTTACATTAAAAATAATCAAGAAAAAAAACTTTAGTTAAAAGAATACAATGCAAAAGTACAATTTTTGTATTTAATTTATTACTGTTGTTATTTTGATGTCACATTTCCTCAGGTATAAAATCTTTACTTAAGTAAGTACAGATGCCTCAGTCACTTTCATTTGTTATGTTTTATTTTTGATTAAGAACAGAGTTTGCGCATTCAAGGTGCTCAACTTCATCTTTATCTTTTGAAATGAAATAAACCTAAGAGATTCTTACTATAAATATTATGCATAGCATTAGTTCATAATTGTTGATCAAAGACAAACTGGAATGTGGATCACAATTCACATTTAAATTCTTTACATACAACAGTCATTTAACGACAGAACTGGAGGAACAGGAATAAATAACACTGTTTCTCCCTGCACGTGAGCAGATCACAGGTTCAGTTCATGAGAGTGAGAAGACTCTAGATATCTGCACTACAAAAGAAAAGAACAAACTCGTAAATAAGCCTTAATAGAAATTTCAGTCTGAACATGCATGGGAAAGACCAACAAGCAACATGATGACAGAGGACATTCTCTCTTTGGGAAATCAGACGTTACAGGGGAACAAATGAAACGTAACACTTCCTGTTAGACAAAAAACAAACCAAATTAATTAAATAAGCAAACAAACATGACAGACAAATCAAAACTACTCGAGCAGATGAGAATTAGAAAACATCTAACAACTGTTTTTCCTGGAGGACCTCCTAAACAAACATGGAGATGCATTTTGTTGTGTCAGGGTTGGATGGAAGTTTCTCCAGATAATTGGTTCAAAAGTTCTTCTCCTATATAAATGTACATCCTTTATTGAGCAAGTTTAGGCTGAACTCGAAACAGCCAGTTTCTTGAGATGGTCCATGAAAACTTGCAGACTAACGTCATCTGTGAGGATTGGTGCTCCGGACTCCTGCAAGAAAGATTTGTAATGTTAGAGGTCAGGCATTCTTGAAAGGCCATTCATTTCAAGCATCCAAGAGAAGCACATGGGTGAAAGGGTGTGTACCTGGCCCCAGGCGTAGAGGTTGTTGTGTGTCTGGGACGGGTTGACTTTAGAGAGGAGGAAGCGGGCCTGTGAACCTCCGTGCTCGGTGTCCACGTATCTGGGCATTGGGAAGCGCGTCTGCAAGATCTCCTGAGCGTCGTCCAGAGGAGCTTGAAGAAGCTGCTTGAAGTTCTCATACTCTGGCATCTCCTGGTATCCAGCCTTCCTCCACTGAGCAATAGTCTGTGAAGATGACAAATAACACCATCACTAAACTGAACCACTTTAATAGCAGGCTTTCATGGGTCATATAGTATGATATGGCAAAATATGAAGCACATTCACATACAATTTTATTCCGAGCCCCAAACTGAGCAATAATATGTCATTTGGTGCAGTTGCTGATTTATACAGCCAAAAAGCCAAAGACGAAATTCTGATTGTGCTCATAAAGTAAATCAATGAGAAATCTTTATAACAGTATTACGGCTTCTGACGTAAAATACATATTAATATCAGTTGCCACTCAATTATATCCGTTATTAAAATATGCTTAGTTTTATGTTCAAAGCTCTGTCGCTTTTATTATGGGGGCAAAAGTTATAACGCAATGCAATATAACGACGATTGAGAAATGAACAGAACGTTCCAGGTAACACTTTACAAAACGAGTGCACTAATAAGCATTAATTCATGCTTAACTAATGCACAGATAATACTGAATTAATGTGTAAATAATGATTATCTAAGCTATTCATTAATGATTACCACATTAGGAACTAATAAAGCGTCTGTAAGGTTAATGTATAAGTTCATACATGAATTGTTATTAATTAAATATGTAATTGTGGATTAATTCTATAATAAGTCATTTTTTTAACTAATATTGTTAATTAATAAGTTAATTACCAGAATGAGCCAAAGCCTTGTATTTCAACTTCCAGATAAAATGACAGGTACACTAATATGCATTAATACATGATTACTTACTTAATTGTTAGTGCAAATTCATGTGCAAATTACTAAATGACTAGTTAATAATGATGTGCCCCAACAAGTAAAGTCATAATATAATGATACCTTTGCAAATCATTTGCTAATGATTAATTAAAGCAGGCAACTGGAAGTTGAAGTGCATAGCTTTGACTAATTGTGGTAATTAACACGTTAATTTACACTATTAGTTAATAAAATATGTTAATAGGGAATTAATACACAATGACGCATTGAATTAATAGCAATTCATGTATTATTTAATAGTTCCTGATGAAGTAATCATTAATTAATGGTATGATTGTCTGTGCATTTGTTAAGCATGAATTAATGCACATTAGTGCACCCGTATTGTAAAGTGTTAACACGTTCCTCTAAAGCCTGATGCATCATATTTTATCACAACATGTTTTTTTTCTTAAAAATGATGCATGGATAATCAAGTAAACATAAGTTGCTTCCAATAAGTGTCCGTCTTGAAATATTACTAACAAAATAAGTTATTTGTACGTTTACTTTATAAAAATAAAAGATTTCACAGAAAAAAAGACCTAAAGGTGGACGTTTTTGGAATGATCCTGAATGGCCTTTTACTTGCTTAAGTAATGCATTTTTAGGCATCATATGTCCACTTCCAACAGGAAATGAGGTGACCCTTTGCACTGCAATTAGCTAAGTTTGTTTGGCACTGATTTTTTTAAAGAAACCATTATCTAAAGAGTTTTGATATTTTGTACCTCTCCATGGTAAATCACCAACTGGAAGAAGGTGTCCATCAACAGAATGCGATCAGGAAGGATGCTGCTGCTGTCCAGAAGAACAGGCTACAAAACCAAACACACACAGGATGAGTATAAGCTGAACTGCATTGCTCCTGCTCTATAACATTACAGGGATGGATTTCTAATCACCTCTGGAGGGCCGTAGAAAGAGTACGAGTAGAGGATGGGCTGTATCATTATCAGCGACTGTGTCAGATCCTGACGCACAAAATGGTGTCTGTAGTAGGACGACTCGTCCGGACTGTTATTGAACACCTGCAGGAACGGGGATCTCCTCAAGTGGAACATGAACTGTAAAGAGAAAACCAACAACTTTTAATATCAGAAATGTGATATTCCCCAAACAGAGTTTTTAAAAATCAAACTCAAGACCTGCACAAATAAAATTGTCCATACAACATCAAATTAAATCATGTATTTAACTTAATTAAACAGGCACACAATGACCTGCAGTGCAGAAGTCATGTTTTCTTCAATATACATGCAGTATGTACTGAAATTGGTTTATGTACTATTATATCAATACATACAAATTAGAGGTCGGTCAATATTGCTAAAATATGCACTCCTACAACAATCATTGCCATATTTTTCATCAACAGTAAACAATCACTTGGTCTAACGGTATCCAATTGATAGCAAACTTTTGACTTTGAACATGCAATGCTAACATTTATTTGAACCATCACATTTTAAAATGATAATAAAGATTTTTGTTAAACCATTTAAGATACTTAAGACATCTGAACCTTAAACAAACTGACTTTTTAAGAGTTTAACTGAAGGAGTCAATGTTTTACCTGTGGGTAGAGTGAGAGAGATTCAGACAGTTTGAAGGAGTTTGGATCATCTTTACTAAACTGGCCAAACTTCTGACACTGAAACCAAACAACAAACACAAACCTTGAGTGTGAAGCAACTTGTACATTCAGAATTATAATAACGGCTAAACGATTTGTCATATCGCAGCTTACGAATGGAGGCATTGACCTACATTTCCTTCTGAATAGCTGTGATACTCACCAAGCGAATGAGCTGCCTGTCCAGCCAGCGGAGAACGTCAGGCCCCTCCTCCGACTCCGCCCTGAAAACGCCGAGCCGGGCCATGAGAACGGCAGAGGCTTCCTGATCAAATGACGACTCGATGTGCTGGATCTGGGACTGTGCGTCAGCCCAACTAGGTGTGACAACAGAAAGAACCGGTTTGTCGAGAGCAAATGACGCACAAATTGAACACTCAAGAATTTGGGCTACAGAAGAGCTATTCATGACTAAAACTACACGCATTAAGTCTATTTTGAGCAACAGCAAACACAAGATATGTTGACTGTAGATAGCTTGAAGGCCACATCAAACGTTTACATCAACCTCAAAAGAAACGATCTTATGAATGAAAAGGAACAACCAAGTCATTGAGGTTGTAAGCTGAAACCCAGACTCACTTCCTAGCAATGGTGGTGACACGGATCCGCCGCTGTGTGTTTGAGTGCTGGTACTGTGTGACAAACTGAACAGCTCCTCTTCCACCCTGAGGAACAGGGGCGTTGTGCTATAAAAATATAACATACCAGTGTTATTTTAACATCATAAGCCTTCACACCCAAGTGCAAATCCAAATGAACAGCTA